CTCTCTCTCTCCTCTCTCTTTTTTTTCTTCTGTTAGGTGCCTTATATTTTCTCTTATTCTCTGCCATTATTGTTCCTATGTGTGCAACCAGCATTAGTAGCAGGTCAAGGCATGGGCTTGAACAAGAAACTGGGATGAAGTGATACCGCCCAGCAGTCAAGGCACCGCTGCAGACACACGTAAGACCGGAGCAGCCTCAGAGAGAAACACGGGGCAGGTGCAGAAGTCAGGACAAGCAGCAGTTCTGCTTGAGGGCTGAGTGCAGGGCTGAGCACTGAAGGCTGAGCCTGAGGTGAACTGCCCCAGTTTGTGTGTGACAGCGAGGCCCAGAGCTGCTCTGGGATTTGTGCTGTGCCTTTTCTCTCGAGTGCTTAAGCCTATCAAGCCTATACTGTGGTGTGTGCCAAGCTAACAAACAAAGGTATCTGAGGGATCTCTGTTTGGCCTGATAAGGGGTGAGATATAGGTAGCTCACTTGCCCCTTCCTTCTTGTTGATTTTGGAAAGACAATATTTAAAAGAAATAGCATGGATGAGATTTTCTCATAGTAGTGTATGGTTAGGCCTGCTGGCCTGTAGGCAGCACAGTCTGATGAACTCACCTGGTGGCATTCACATTTATACATGATTATGTTCGCGTTTAGACCTATATGATACACAGGCACTTTAAAAACATTGTTTGTATAACATACAGAAACTGCCACCGCAGGGGAAGGTAAGCAGGCCTGGCTGTTGAATAATATAAATGAGCTGCCCAAGCCCTAGAAGTCTTTCATAAAGGTCATTAACTAAAAGTCTTTTAAATTTATGTTAAAAATAGTATTTCATGACTCAGCCCTACAGCAATATTCAGATTTTGTCCCTCAACCTGACAATTGGTTGATTTTTTAAAATTATTTTTTAAGCAGTGAACGTCATTCTGGAGCCCTTTCAGTAGCCCTTTTTCTGCAAATTCATATTTTGTGTGGTGTAGCTGTCAGATCGCATTAGCATTTCCTGCAGAAAAATAAATGCCATTTTCAATTTGTGGAAATGCTTTATATGAAAGGAGCAACACAGGATGTGTGGCATTTGTGCGCATTGGACTCCCATTTTATACCTGTAACGGGAGTGCAACTGGGATTTTATGGGTATGAATACATACATTGAATACATGAGTGCCTGTTGTCACAAGCTTGATTTGGTGTCAGAGAATCATAGAATGCTTAAGGTTGGAAGGGGCCTCAGAGGTCATCTAATCCAACCTTCCTGCACACGCAGGGTCACCTAGAGCACGTGGCACAGGGCTGCGTCCAAGCGGGTTTGGAAGATCTCCAGAGAAGGAGACTCCACAACCTCCCTGGGCAGCCTGTGCCAGGGCTCTGGCACCCTCACTGTCAAGAAGTGTTTCCTTAAGTTCCTGTGGAACTTTTGTGTGCCCCTGTGTTCCTGTGTCTCTGTAGGCAGTACCTTCATAGAAATCACAGGTAGATATTCCAATTTCATTATCCTTCCAAAGCAAATTATGCTGTGAAATCTTTATTATTTCCTATGTAGCAGGAGGCAGGGACATCTCAGTGGAACGCACTCTTTACCACCACAGCTGTGCGACTCTGGCTTATTTCCTTCTTGAGGTTCTCCTCCCCCATGAATAGCCAAGAACTGCCAATAAAACACTGCAAATCTGGCCTTCCTAGGCAGCAGCAGCACAAAACTGTTTTGCTGGTGCTCCCTGTCACTGGCAGTGCTCTAAAGAGGGTGTGGGTGGTGTTGAAATTCTGAGTCACGGTGGTGTCGAAATTCTGAGACATCAGAGATGTCTTTGGACTGACTAGTTAAGGACACACTGGGTCATTTCATTCATATTTAGGTCATTAAATTCATATGTACACAGAATTTTGATTAGGTGTTCATAGTCTTATTGTCCAGAAATCTGCACTGGGGTCTGAATACCTTAATGAAAGGCACAGATCATGTGAAGTTTGAGGTGGGGTGGCAGCCCTGAGGACACTGCTAGAGATGGGCACGGGCGTTCACAAAGGTCAGCTGCATCAGCTCAGTGGGGGTGAGAAACCAAAAAGATGACTAAAGAGTTTGTGAAACTGCAGATCTTGAGTTGATTTTAAAAACAGTAAATATAATTTCCTACCTGATAGTGTAGTGACTCTGCAGACATTACTTGAAATATAATGATAAGTAAATATAATTGTTACCAGGTCTTTATTTTGATAATGTTCTGCAGTAATATAAAGACTTTTAAATCTCATTTTTAAGGTAACTAATTCACTCTAAGATATATGCTTTACACTTTTTGCTCATATAAGCTTTATATTTACTAACATCAGTGTGCAAATTCAAAGTTACTCTTTTTTTTTTTTTTTTTTCTGAGGAAAAATGGTGAAATACTGCGATATATCAAGTTTAGAAAGAGCAGGTCCGTAGACCATAAAAGAATGGCTTTTGCCTCTCCACTCCAGCCTAGAAATTACTGTCATGCCAAAATAGTTGCACCATGTCTTAATGTTTTGGTCTAGAACTGATTCTGCAACCTTGAGTGGCTTTTAAGGAGGCTCTGACACTGTATCTGAAATGTATCTTCAGGATAATGTCAGTATGGTAATAGGTGCAGTTTTCAATCTACCATGCCATTAAATAAAAAGGACAAGTCTAGCCTTGGCATGCCTCCCTTGGCAATGTGGGTGCTAAACCGGGGAGTAATTACTCTTATTGTATTTAACAGCATGTCTCAGATTTATAAGCCATTAAAATATGACTCTGCCAATTAAAAGGTAATTGTGATATGTCTTCCTACTGCTGAGGGATTAACTCAGTCTGATCTCGGGGTGGTTGACAAAGGCAGTTAGCTTCTGGTTTATATGTGAGTTAAACCTATAAGACATAATGATTTCATTTAGAACAGGCCTGGCCTAGTGGCGTACGCTCCAAAATGGACTGTTGGCTTCATTGGAAGCAGTGGGAACCCTGGATTGAATGAAAACATGATGAGCCCCTGAGGGTTCTTCCTGTAAGTGGTTCACACTTCAAATTCACTTGCAGATTGTGTATCAGTTTAAAGAACATGAGTGAGAAGATGAAACGACATCCAAATTTTCTCCTTTCTGTGTGATACCAACAGCCGCCGTTAGAGTAACTGCACAAAGCCGAGGAGGGAAGAGATTGAGGAATAACGACCAAGCACTTGTCAGCATTTGCTCTTGCCAGTAACTGCCGTTAGAAAATCCAGTTGCACATATTAGGTATTAGACAAAAGAGAGCAGTGGAGCTGGAGCAGCTTGGGAGACTGTTGCTTTCCCAGCGGGCAGTTCCCATCCGCTCAGCTGGGAATGTCCTGCACCCCGATTCACTGCCGTGCCAAGGAGCAGCAGTTGGTTTAATTCACGGGCAGCGTGTTTGGCTGATAAAAGCTGATGGTGTCGTGAAAGTCTCTCCTGTGGCTTTACCACTGAATTTGAGAATATTTGCAGAATTACAGGGAAAGCAAGGATGTGTCATACTGTGCTTAGGTTTAGGGAACACTCAGGTCCTGCTTGATCTCGGGCGCTCAATTCTGTTCAACAGACTCTAGCAAAAGGACTTGTCTTCCTGGGGAAGTAGTGATAATAGCTAAGCTCTAAGGTAAATGAAACCTTTGTGGTTTTAAGGTAAAGGAAAAGCTTTTTTAAAAGCTTTCAAGATAATGTGTGTTGGTAAGTTGAGAAGGGCTTTGTGACCTCTCTCCTTTCACTGGTGGTGCGGAGCATGTAGCCAGAACAGCGTGTTGCACTGCAGAGAGTAGGACAAAGAGGAAGAGCGGGGCGAAAGCTGCTGCTGGAGAGGGAAGGCAGGGGCGGAGGATGTGCCCCGCGCGCGCCGGGGCCCTGCCGGGAGCGGCAGGGGAAGCGGGATGCTCCCTGGCTGCTCCGTGCGTGCAGCGCGCTCTCCCTGGGGAGGGAGAGCTCCGTGAAGGAACCGGCCTGGCTGCCGCCTCTCCGAGACCGGCCCGGGGGAAGATGCTTGGGCTGCACAGGACCCCGGAGGCCTTTCCCGTCAGCCGGGGAGCCCTGTCCTTCCTTGGCCAGTGGAGCTGCTTGCCCTTGCGCACCCATCGCTCGCCGTCTCCCAACCGGCACCCATTGCCCGCACCCATCTCTCTCCCAACCAGCCCCGCAGCCGTCCCTGCCGCTCCTGCTCCCGCTCCTGGGCCTGCTTGGCCCTGCTTGGCCCTTGCAGGCCTCTCTGCAGGAGGCTGCCCTGGAGGCTGCTGCGAGCCCTGCCGCCCGAGGGGTCTCGCCCACGCAGGAGGGTCCGCAGAGAGGCTCTGCCTCGCTGCAGGCCTGAGGCCTCGGGTTCACGGCGATGCCCTGCACCCGCCTGCCGCATCTCACTGCCGCTGAAGGGGAGGGAATCCAGAGCTGCCGCTCCCTCTCCCCCAGCCCTTCCCTTAGTCCCGTGATAGTAGCAGAAACCCTCAGACTGACCCAGCAAGTAAATCAAAACCTGCTGCTTATATGTTTATGTAGGCGAGTGCTCTGTGTCAGGGCTTTCGTGTGATCATTGGATCATTTGATGTGCTTGGAGGAAAGGATTCTTGCCCTCTCTTCTGGTCTCTTTCATTAGACTGCTTTGAGAAAAGGCCAAAATAAGCAAATCTACTGGGGTAGATGCTTTTAGTAGAGAATCCGTGATCTGATGGAATTGTATAAAAACTCAATATATTTCATTTTAAATTAAAGACTTGGGAATGCTGTCCGTGAATTACTGTGAAGCGTATAAGGCTAATGTGAGATGTTATCCCTCCTACTAAAGTACCAACATTCAGTTGCACAAAATAATTCAAGTAAAGTAAAACATTCTAAAGGTTTAAAATTATACTGAGTAAATACAAAAAAAAATCTCGCTAATGTTCTTGTTGACAATGAGTCTGAACAATTGTTAAATATAATCTGTCCCTAAAAAAAAAAAAAGAGCAATTTTTCTACAACATGAACTGAATCTGATTTTCTCTATTTTTATTCCATGTAGGGCTGTGAGAATGAGTGTGTGGCTGGAGGACATGCAGGGGATGCTACAAAGCATGTGACTGAATCTTTCAAGGTAAGTTGTTTGCTAAAATGTGAGTGTTTGGAGCATTTCACTGGACAGTGCCAGGCATCATCTGCAATGTGGTGAGGATTCTGGTGCAAGAGTTTGTAACTGCTGACACGCTGAAACAAAATTTTGTAAGCAGGACTTGCATTTTCTGAAATTATTTTCAGTATTTATTAACCCTTTAAGAAATTAAAAATGTTTCAAGAATAATTCTTGTTGCAGATGCCAACTAAAAGCTTAGTAGACATTAAGCAAAAATTAACATGGTATTCCTGAATGTTTCTTGTCTCTTACCTACTTAAAAACAATGTAGCTCTAGATTGATTACCCCCATAAGTTATACAGACAAAGGCTATGCAACACTCTGTATTTATGCTCTATTATTGGTCTAATTTTGGCATGGTGTTCAAAACTAGTTTTTTTTTTTGTGTCTGGTTTCAAAATTGCAGAGTTAAGCGTCTCAGAAGGGCTTCATGCTGCAGCTCTGGCACATTCTCAGCACTCAGCAACTCAACTAGTAACCAGGAGATTTTTTTAACAATGTGTGGACACAGTTGTTAATTAATTTTCTTTTGGGAATTTGAGCCCATAAACATGGGCAGCTTTTGACTCCTGCCTTCTGACTTCTTCTCGTTCTCCGCCACTCTTTTTTTTCTATTTCTCTGGCCTTTGATATGCATTTGTAATTCTCTTCCCCCTGCCTTTCCCTGCTTTACATATAACCTTTAAAAGCCTCATTTATCTTTTGCACATGTTTAAAAATATTACCCCCCAAATTGCTGACCTCACTTGTGCTTTTTCAGCAGTTCCTTTCCTGTTATTGCTGACTGCTGTCAGCAGCACATGAGGTGAAATTTTAGTGATATGCTTTGTAACCATCACGTTCTTCCTGACTCTTTGGGCAGTGTCCAGTCTAGTGCAATCTTCTGAATTATGCTTAAGTAACTGTTTCCCTTTTAGCTTCTCAGGCTTTATCAGATACAGACAATAAATGCTGCAGAAAATGTGTTGGTCTCCTTGGTAAGATTTATTCTAATAAAAGCCTTGCCAAGGACAGCAAACAGAAAGAGATCTCAAGACTGCAGGATTTGGTCTTGTAGCAACATGCCCCTTGATTTCATTTTCACCTTTCTCAGCCCTTCTGAGTCCTTCTTTGTTCCTTTGCACTGAACATCCCTGGCAGTTCTCTTGGAGAAGGCTGATGTAGGATGACTTTTCAGCCCGAAGGTCTGTTTTGTGAGATGTTGACGTAAGTGTGTAGCCAGTTATGAAACTCCAGCATCTGACATATATGGAGTGCAGAATCATTTTGTAAATCTACTTTTAATAAGTAGGCAAGATAGATCCCAGTATATATATATATTCTTGGTGTAAATTTCTGGAGTAAGTATTTGAAAGCAAAAACAATTTCTTTAGAAACAGGAGCTGTTCTCACTTATGTAACTGCCTGTACTGTTTCCTCCTGCGCGGTCCACGTGAAGGACGGACAGGCAGAGTGACAAGTGCTCTGGTAGTGTTGGGTCCATAGGTGAACAGGCCATACAGTAGAGGAGCCCTGAGGCAGCTCTAATTTACACTGGCTGTCAAGCAGCTCCCTTACCACAGCTCCAAAGATTGGGTGACTTTGAGCCAGTTCCCTTTTATTCTTGTGTGTCAGTCAGGATGGCAAATCACAAGTGGAAATTGTGTGTGCGTGAGGGGAAAATATGTTATGTTAGCAGGTAGGACAGATGCTAAGGTCATAAAGGGGATAATGTTTTAAAAAAACAGCTGGCTCAGAGTGAAGTCTGATCTCTAGGTCCTTTCCTGCAGTATGGATGTGTTTCTGGAGATTAACTGCAGTCACTAGAAAATAGTGTACTGTGGTATATGTGTGTGAAAGTTTTGGTTGGGAGATATGAGGAATTCTTTGTCATGCAATATAATAACAATTTGCAGTTTCTGTTGCTTCATTCTCTCAAAAAATATATATATATAAATGAAGGAAAAATGACATGAGGCAATGGCAAATAAAATAAAGCTGGATTCATTTGAGGGCTTCACAGTTGCTTCTATGAAAAGAAAATATGGCTACAACTTCAGAAACTATTAGTAATGATATTTCAAAGAAAGCTGCTATTTATGTGCAAGTAACCTAAGTAATCCAGGATTGTGGGAATGTACATAGAGAAAATGGGGAATGATTTATTTTTATGGTTGCATAAAAGATTATTTAAAGTGGATGTTGCCAATATTTGAATAGCAGATTCCCTCTCTGGAAACATTTCTTTTTAGAATGCAATGTTGTGCTTTTTAAGTAGATTATATGAATTTCACTGCAATTTCTGTTTAACGGGGGGCTTGAAGAGCTTTTCCCCCTATTCTGGGAAGGAAGGACTGTTACATATAGATATGAGGGCACAGTGAGCTCCTTGGCTAGCTGTTCACCCTTCTTAATTCTCACAAACTTCTCTCAAGTTAGAATCAGAACTTGGTTGATACCAGTTGCTACTGAATTACTTTTAAGTTTGATTCGCTTCTGTGGTTAAAAAGCTAACCCTGACTGCTCTGTGATTTACAAGATATCTAATGTGGTGCCCTTAGACATCACAAGTAATCTTGGAGAGGCTGAGGAACATTGAAGGAGCAATGTTTATGCTTAGATTTCCTGTATTGTAGGAAATGTCCAGTCTCCAGGATATACCTACCCAGCTCCTTCTACCAGAGCAAATTTTTCTTTAATCCCTAACTAGTACTTATGTATGTGTATTTTTAAAGAACTGGCTGTGGCTTGTGACCATTACCTAAGAAATTGTAATTTTGGTGTATAGCACGTCTCAGATGTTTCACCAAAGGTGGAAACCGCAGCCGTCCTCAGTGTGATTGAATATTGAGTTAGAAAAGGCACATACCCGGTTTTGCCCCTGGATGTGCCTTTTCCCTGTAACAGTATCATCAAATAACCTACAACTAAGGCACTTAATCTGTGTGATTTGATAAATTTGAAAAACTCTGTTTTTTGTCTCTGTGTAACTTTTTGCCATGGAATGCTTTTTTTTTTTTTTTTCTTCAATGAGAACTAATACATGAGATTCTTAAAAGAACACTTAAAGAAGGTATTTTCTATCTCTGTTGTTTCTCTATATTTTGATATTTCAAAACTATATAGATTAGTTATTTAATAGCTATAGTCTACAATTTAATTGGTGCTGATTTGCTACTGTGAGGAGCGGTGATAGTGGAATGGGTAACACCTAAGCGGAGGCCCTACAGCTGAAGGGCTCCTAAGGCCCGGTCTCCTGCAGACAGACTCAGCATTCCCGAGCCCCAGGCCAGCGGGATGGGAGCCCAGGAAGCCAGGAGCTCTGCAGGGAGTTAGTGCAGTGCTGAGGTGCCCGCTGAGCTCCTGGGCTTGCTGGAGCTATAGAGCAAAGGCAGGATGGGCCAACGCGTTCGCACAGCGCCCGGTCCGAAACGGGCTCCTGGGGAGCTGTGTGAGGCGCTGGGTGCGGGAGGTTTCTGTCACCTCTCTGCCCCAGGGCCTGTTTGCAGAGCCCTGGTGTCTCAGAGCAGAAAGGGAACTGTGCTCTGAACTGCTAGGAGCTGTGCAAACTAGAAAAAAAAGGGTTATTTCCGCGCCATGGCTGCAACCTACAGCTAAGCAGCCAACATCTCTTCACGGTGATCGATAGCTCTAGTATTTTTCTGCTTTGGGTGAGGCAAGCAGAAACTTAAAATGTATTTCCAAGGCAGGTGGTTGTGCTTCAAATTGAGACGTTGCTGATAAAAAGTATTAGGGATGTTGATTTTGTTCTCACAAGTCCTGTCACACAGATGTTGCTCTTCCCAGGAATAGGGCTTTTAGCTGCATATTTTAGAACCTGCAGCCTTGGCGTCAGATTACCGTGAACTTTGTGCGAAACACAGAGTGCTGATACTGTTTCACTGCCTTATTTCATTTTCCTGGCAAATGTGCATCCACACAGGCTTTGCACACAGCCGTTGGAGTGTTTCGAATAATGGCAAGAATTCATCCTGTGGATACAGCTCTTATTAATGGCACTCTCTTTGTTTCTAGCATATTACGAAAATGCTGGGTTACAAAGGTATAAACCCAGGAGTTTATTAAAGAAGGCTAATATGGGCTGGGCATGATTGACTCGGTCATCTGCTGCTTTCTCACGAGCTCTCAGCAAAGCGAGGCTGAAGATCAGCGCCCGCTGCCTGCACGGCTAGAGCAGCTGCACAGCTCCGCACTGCCGGGTACGGCCCCCTGTGGAGGTCGTGCTTCCCACTCCAGGCTGGGAGCACGGGATACATGGAAATGGAGAAGCATCACTGATCCTTCCTTCGGGACTGTGGTAGGCCAGAAATGCTGCTAAGCAAGAACATGTTCTTGCAGCTGTGGGAATGATTCTCCATGATTCTGCTGTGCTAGGCTAAGGGAGGGTTTCCCAACAGTCTGCAAGTGCCTTTTTAATGTCCTTGGGAACCTGCCTATCCGGTGGCATTTGAGATCCAGGGTCACCCTGTTCAGTGTAAAGCCCATGGCAGGAAGTAGTTGTAGCTGTTTCCTTTGAGAGATATAATGTCCCTCAAATAGTTACAGGGTTTTAGTTATAGCAGAGAAAGTGACTGTCTTGTTATCTGAAGTTCTTGGATTTGTAAATAAAACTAATTGTCTTCAACAAACAACAGGAGCTTTTAGCCAAGATGAAAGGGAGATGCTTGGAGAACTGCCAGGGAGCAGTTCTGTGGACTTAACTTGCAGCCCAAGGAAAGTGATGCTTTATATCTTCTTTGTTAACTAGGAGCTAAGATAAGGTTTCTGTAAAAGCACAGAGGTTGTACTAGAATTTTGGAAATTATATTTGCATCATATCTTTTTAAAATTTTTTTTTTTCCAAAAGTGAAGGATTGCTTTTAAAATGAAAGTCTTTATCACCAGCCAGAGATTCACAAGGGAAACTATCTGACCCTCCCTAAGAGGGAGAATTTTTAATTTTTCCTAAATGGCACTGTGGTAT